GTACACCACTTTACAAGACAAATGCTTATTGTTCCTTCAACATGGTGTTGGTCAGAGAATGGAAGAAAATAAAGTGTGTGTTAATATGAGTTTATGACTGCTTTGGATTCATATAAATTAAAAACAACATATACATGTCTGAGGGTGTGTGCTATTTCTATAGACTGCTCCATATAATCACACAGCTTTGGAATGTCATTTTTTTCTAAATAAATATGAAAAGGCCTTGAAAAAATGCACTAGTGTGGACATTCAAAAGGAGTGCATACAAATCCTAAAGCCTTATCATGTATTTTAACATAAAGCTTTTGAGAAAGCACAAACTTTATGAGGAAGGAGAAGCTGGTGAAAAAAGGATTAAGATTACATGTGAGCAGACTTAAAAAAGGCACCAAACTTTAAAAAAGGAACTGACAGAAAATATAAAAGAACCATAAAAAACACATCAAAACAACCACAAGGCAGTTATATCTAACAGGACTTCCTTCTGTTTAAAGAAGTGACTGAAGATAGGGTTGTAAGAGTATGAGTTATTATGGTACAATAACCGTCTCAGAAATCATCAAGGTTTCAGGTCCAACTGGATTTCACTGTCATTCTTTTATGTATAATTACTAATATATCAGTTACACTGACCCTTAAAGAACTGAAAACAGTATTAATAATATGATAAAACATTAGCATAAAACTATGACATGTTATATAATATTACTGTAACATGTTGGTTTACAAACAAGCATAACTATGGCATTTTAAATTAAAATTAAAATAACATCACCTGTACTCTTTCTGAGAGCGCCATACAGCACTTGTGCATAATATCCTTGATCAAAACTCTAATATCCAGGACTACACTTTTTTTAATTGTGTTGTCGGCATTTTAAAAAATTCATAATGCTCTACTTCACTTCTTAACCATCCTAAAGCAGTGTGTCCTTCACCAGCTGGTATCATCAACACTTCCAAGCATTAGGACCTGTTCAATCAAACAATCTCAAATAATTAGTCAATATCAGGGCAGAGAAGTTTTCTGGCACAGATAGGGGTCACATATTGTGTGTGCTTTGGATAACAAAGAGACAATAGTGTATCTGCCAGGACTCCCTGAAGGGACTTGGTTTCCATTCGGGTGGAAGTCTATAGGGATGCCAAGGAACCAACAGTAAACACTGGTGTTGGTGCAGCCCTACATGGCAGGGATGTCATGTGGATTTTTCATTCAAATTAGATTGAGTATATTTTGTATAGGTTCATCTATACTTGATATGCTTGAGGCAAAAGGCAAGAAGCAGATCAGAAATCGGTATACAATAATAAAGATGTAAATAGTAAAAGCTGGGTGAAGTATTGGATGATTCCAGTACTCATCTTCGTGCCATAAACCTAGAGCTGTTTAGTATCATCATTGGGACATAAAGCCATTTGTCCTTGCATGGACACAATGGCAATAAAGAAAAACGATAACCTATCTTGAGCTTGTGAGAAAATGAGGAGTGAAATATTCTCAGTGAGTGACCAACAGGAGTGACATTCCCCTTACTGTCGTTGTTCCAGGTCGTTTTCTTAAAAAGGAAATACGTCATGTAGCCTACTGCTGCTCAACCAAAAAGCATAATCTTGGTCATGTATAGTTTAACTTCTGGTTAGTGAAGTCTTCTAGTAATGAAAATACCACTGTACTAACCATGGCTTCGAGATAAAATATATACATTAACAAGACCAATACTGGTAGTGGTAAAAGTGGCATTTTAACAACTGCAGTTTTAGACTAACTAGTCACCTACCGTTGGACTTTTGTAGTGATTGGTACAATATATAGTAATGTCACTGTACAATAAAGGACAAATACACACTGAATGACCCATGGCCCTAAGGTGAGCTGCAACCCTTGGTGTTAACATGTGCAACAGCATCTCACGGTGTCATCCCAACAAATCGATCAGCAGCTGGGGCGGCATAGTCTAATCTCATTTAATCCGGACAGCTGCTAAAAGTGGCATCCTGCGGGCCTAGCTAATGGAGACGTGGCCTGTGAATTGTGTCTCAAGAAAGCACTAAACGTGGATTAAAAAGCCGGGTCACACTGTCAATTCGCGGTCGACAGGCTGCCCTGCATGTGCATATCACCAAAGGCAGTTTATCAGTCAGTCCTGCTGCTCACCTGTATTTTGACGAAGCCTTGCCAAGACCCGCTGTATCGGTTCCGCTCGCGCTCCCATATCCCTCCGACCGGCGACCCGCCTCAGCCTCGCTTTCCCCGACACCGGCTCAGGGCTGGGGGGGTGAATTCACAAATGTCTCCTCGTATATTTTTTACAATAAACGTGTAGACGTCATTACAGCAGCAGGGTGAATGAATCCAAATACATCAAAGAGCTTTCCCTGTAATGTTCCCAGGAAAACCTGCTACAGTCCATTTAAAAAGAGCGTTATTAATCAAACGGTCGTTTTCAAACCGTTTCTCCGCTTTATTGCAACACGTCGTCGGTTGTGGCAGTTCACTGAGTGAGGGTCGTTGTTCATGTCCCTCCGTCGTTGGAGCTCGGCATGATGGTTTCTATCCACATAAGGTAAAAGTGCCTCGGGGTTTGACGAAAAAGGCGATCCTCACGTGTATTCAGCGGCTGGTGTGTGCAATCAGCCGGACAACTCCCGGACCCCGGAGCGGATAGCAGCTAAACGGAGGCAGCATTTCCACAGGATCTGGTCCATCCCCTTGGACATTTCTCCCACGAAAAAAAAAATACGTACAACTCGGCTATTCCCCTTCCGTGTTTGGCTGCGCAAATCCCGCACGGCAACGTTATGTTTACGCACACCTGACTCGTTTTTGTAAATGGCAGACCGCAGACACTTTGGAGATCCTGCGGAGAAAGGGCGCCACTGGTGGTTTCTGAATATTAAGGAATCTGCAGCTGAATCAAAGAGGGCAGTGTTTCAGAGAGGCTGCTGCCCTCCCTTTGCAGAGTCACACAGAAAGACCCTGGGGGACACTGTTTTGGTTAGTCAGTCGGTTGTTAATTTGAGGGTGCGGTCTGTTTTGAAGGGTAGTGGTTACAATTTAAAATCCGTAAACTACATTAAAGGAGAAAATGTCAAAATGCGTGTTTGAATAGGCCCAGTTTTGCCACAACGCATGCGTAATTTAGAATTGACCCAAATCAATATCCAAGGACCAAGGGACGAACAGGCGAAGCTTCACTTGTGCAGTAAATAAACGTGAATTATCAGCACCATTTTTGTCAATATTAACCTTAATTTAAAATGTAAAATGTCGTTCACTAATCTGGACTGTAGTCTATACGTGTAAAGACTACCCGAAGAAATAAGGTTATTTTACATTTTTAACTTTTGTTTCTAATTATGTAATCTATTAAACTTGATGTAAAATATTATTATCCGATTTAAACATCACATCGTAATCATGTCATTACATAAGGGTATTTTGATTTGATTTTCGATTATATTATAAATAATTGATTGTCATAAAGGCGTTTGTTTGTATTTGTAGTTGAAACCAGTTTTAGATCACTAGTATGGGTCTATATTTGACTCGTTTTGACAATACAGTCTATGGTTTTGACAGTATCTTTCATATCAACCGGTAAACCAACGCATCTGACCAATAGCTCCGTACGTTACCGATTACTGTCTTGACCTATTCAAATCTTTTCATGGAGCTACGTACACTGGGCGTGGATCAGCGTCACGTAATAAACTGGTGGTGTACCCACCCTACTGTCATCTATCAGAAATGCAGGCGAACAAGCGAAAGCAATGCCAACAATGTTTTAAATAAGAGATCAAATGGATGAGAAAAGCCTCATTAACACCTTCTCTCTCCGTCTCTCTCACTTTCACACATAGCCTGCCTTCCTGCCCTACTGCTGACCTCAGGGCTCCAGGCCATGTGGCAGTGGATCTCCAGCCTGAAAATACAACCAAAGCTGTCATTGGTGTCTCATTTGAAACATCATTTACTCTGCATAGCTGTAATGCATGCCATTATAAACGTGTACAAACAGGGGCAAACGTGATGCAGGAAGGATTCCCCTATTGAGAAGAAAACGTGACTCATAAAATACTGATAAGGTGTGGCCAATACTCTTATGGGGACAGACAGAGGAGGACTTCCAGTGGTGTCACTAGGGAATGTGCTAGTGGGGCAAAATGCAGAAATAGTGTCAGTAGACTAGACCAGTTTAATTCCGCCAAACAACGATCTGTCCTTGTAGCCTACAGCATTTGTGACCCCTATTATAAGCAGGATGTATGTGTAAATGACCTCTGATCTGACAGTGGTAATGTCCCTGTTTGTTCTGTTAGATTTAAGCATGGTGGGTGGGGCCGAGCCAGGGTCTCAACTCTGCAGGAGGAGAAGCAGGTAAATAGATTTATTATATTCTACAGTCCATTTCCTTAATATTCATCTAACTCTATGATTTTTGGTTTGAAGATTTCTGCCTTGTCAGAAAATGTAGTTACAAAAGGTATTTGTGATTCATCTTAAAAAATCAGAACAAGTGGTTTTTGACAAGAAGGTTTTCACAGGAATTTGCTCTGGTATTTTGTTTCATGACGGTCACAAAAAACATAGAGAATAGAGACAAGTAGCCTACTGCAAGGAAACAATCATAAAATATAAATAATAATACATAACAGAAATATGAAAAAAATCTTTATTTATTTTTTATAGAAAATAGTTGAACTAAGAAAGAGGATTAAGACACTGACCTCAATATTAGTTGAATTTGAAATTAAATTAGCTTGTGTAAGCAAAAACAATGTAACTGTAATTTTCCAAATACTTTCTCCCACTGCATTGTACCTCAAAAAATTCACAAAACTTGTATGGACGTTATTATTAGGTAATTATAAGTCTTTAATACTTAAGATTAAGAATATTCTTAAAAGGCTCCAAAACCCAGGATGGAGTCAAAGAAAATAGACTCCCCCTATTCTTGAGGATGAGATGGTACATCCCAGTCTCTCCTCCTCTCCCTCTCTTTCTCCTCCCTCCTGCTTACAGTGTCCTCCATCTCTCCGCTCTCTCTCATTTTCCTTATATTAAGGACATTCTCACTTCCAGAGACTGCTGCAGTTCCTTCGTCATATGTTATTTTTTTAATCTCTAAAGAGCTCTTGGAGAGGTATGTATTGTCCATATTTCTTCTAATCAATGCATGATGTCATTGGAAGTTTATTTGTAAAGCCTATATTCTGTAATGTGCAAGCTGCTATGATGCGTTTATTCAATAACAGCATTTTTTTCAGCTTCATTTCCCCCCCCCTCATTTGTATTTCATTGATTTCCTCGCAGTGATGATGGTCCTTATTTCTTTCCTCCATCTTGCCCTCCATTTATAGCACACATGACTCATGCAGTTTAACAGAGTGAGAACAGAGAGTAAGACGGGGGATAAAATCTACATGTGTTTGTGTCTGGATTAGGCTCTTTCTCAGAGAAATATAGATTCAGTCCTTGACTCAGAATAAACTCAGCTGTTAAGAGTATACTTCCTCCATTACAAAACTGATCCCACTTTCCCATGAGAAAGCTATACACAGGAAGCTGCCATAAAAAAAATGTCACTGTCATATTGTGTCACAGCTGCTGAGACCAAAATAAACTATTCCTTGTCCTCTGAGCATCAGCGTGTTCCTATCAATGTCATATTTTTCCAAGGTCATTTTAAGGCCCACCACCACACCGCTGCTCAGCTGTACAGTGAACACATGGATTCAAAGGCTTTCATATTCCAGTGTCTCTACGCTCAGCAGAGCAGATAACGTGATGTGTGAGCCTAATTTAGAGGGATAATCTGTGTCTGTTTGCTGTGTTTGTTCAGTGAAGCAGCACAGAGCTGACCTTATAAAGAATCCTCCTGACCAGACCACACCTCTGTCCCTGAGTCCATGGAAGCCAAGGCCAAGTCCGGGGCTACAGCACCCAAGGCGGCACCTAAAGTGGAGAAGAAGGAGCCAGCAGCCCCACGCAAGGCTGATCCTGCCCCTGTAGCCCCTGAAGTCCCTGCAGCCCCTGAGCCCGAGCTTCCTCCTGCCCAGGATGGGGCAGCAGAAGCAGAAGCAGAAGCAGAGGCGGCAGGGGACGAGGCTGCGGCCTCCGGCACAGACTCTCTGGAACACCTGAAACCTTTTCTCATTGGTGGAGCAGTTATTGCTGCAGGAGCCATCTTGCTGGGAGTGTTGCTACTGGCACGGAGAAATTAAACCAACTCATTATCTCAAATTAAAGTATGAATTGGATGATGAGTTAGAGCATTGTTGACTATTATGGTACAGATGGGGGAATGGGAGCCACTGTGCGTCTTATGTTTGTTTGTGTTTTGGCCTGCTTTCACTTGTAGTGAATCAAACCATTCCATTTTTGACATGGAGCATAATTACACATAATATATGCATGATGTTGCTTCATTACTGCATCTGTACTGTAATCAATTCCTTTAAAAAAAACACTGTAGTTCTGAGCTACAAAGCCTCAACTCTTTAAAAGTAGTTTATTCAACTGCTTTATCTTGTCTAATCCAGTTTACATATATATTGACATCCTAGCAATATTTGTGAATTCTTACTCTGAAAATCTGCTGGTTCACTAAATAATAATGAAAAACTATCCACAATCTTGAAACATTACAATTGTAATAATGGCTATCAGAGTTGTTGTCGGTCTTATTTGACTTATTTTTGGTTTTTAAACTATCTAAAGGGAAGACCTGAAATTAGTCGACACTATGCATTGTGATGTATTGCACTTATTTTGGCTAAAAAAATTCCTAAATGATGGGACTCAGTTAAGAGACACTGCATATCCAAAACATGTCATAGGGTACAGTGCAATACAAAATAAAATATAAGCATGCAGTGGTTTAAGAAATGGGATGGAGAGGATTGTAAGAGATAAAACATGTACAGTATGTTTTAGACAATAATAGTGAAGTTACCTCTTGCTGTAGAATAAGAAAGAGTTATTTTTCTGTCAAATTATGTCACAAATCAATTAACCTCTCATGTCTCACACACCATCCACAGTGGTGTGGGTTCATTCTGTTTTACATCTTACAGTAGATACTTTGCTGTAACAGGGTGGACAGCCATCTTGCATTATCAGGTTCAAGGCCTGCTTCATTGTTTATGTCTTCATTGTGTTCCACTAATGCAGTTTTAGGAAAAAATCGATACTTAATTAATACGTGCAACTGTCATTTAATGAAAGCAGCGTATGTTTCTATTACATTGAAAGTAGGGTGTCGTGCACTTTAGGGGAGGAAAAAAAGTGAAGCATTCACAATTATTGAGCAGCAACACTCACCTGTTCAGCTTCACACAATAGTGCCCACTTACATATACTGTCAAAGCCATAGGGAGGCCCTCTGCTCCATAAGTAGATAACAGAAAGACAGTTCTGATTCGCACCATTATTTTATACAAGTTGTAACAGTACTTGTGAATTTCACAACACATTACTGGCAAAAAATAGTATATAAACATACCTCAGTGAACACCAAAACACAACCAATAGATGGTAGGCCAACACCAAAACAAACTTCACCCGACATTGTACAATACAGTGTACTTAAAAAAAAAATCCTATTTTCATTATTTCAACAGCGTATAAATGCAATAATTCAGATAGGACTCCTTATTTAGCACTTGTGCTGTAGCAAGTTAAACTACATAAATAATGATGTAATAATATTGTTGGTAGTGATTATGATGTATATTAAAGATGGCAACAATGGTGATATGCTGATAGCAATGATGGCGTCTTTCATGGTGACTAATGATAATGACAGTTATGATATCTTTTTTTTATATATTTCTAACATTTTTTCCTTATGCACACACCCTTCTGCCCTCAAACTTCTAAATGTGAAAAGGAAATAAACATAATACAACCTTTAATAAAGACAGTGAACCAGCCCAAGTGTGTATTTCAATTATTATATTATATATTGCAGCTCAAATAATTAATTACCAATTATTAATTTGAGTTGAAGATTCAACTTTATTGTCATTACATAGTACAGACTAGTAACAGAACGGTTTCTCTGCATTTGACCCATCCTAATGTTAGCAGTGGGCTGCCATTATGTACGGCACCCGGGGAGCAGTGTGTAGGAACAGTGCCTTTCTCAGGGACACCTTGGTAGCACTCGCCAGATGTAGATGCAGATGTCCTATCAGCAGTCAGAACACACTTCATTACCAATCTCTAGACTGGTTTACGAAATAAATAAAGATATACTTTGAAACGTGTAACAGGGGCAAGCTTATCAGAATAAAGTGAGAGAGATGTCAGCAAAGCATGTTCCTAGGTCTGCTCAGCCAAAATCTGTGAAAAAACACCACTGCACAAAATGGTAGAATGGTGGCGTTTTTAGGGGCACCTGCAGTTTGTCAGTATACACCATGGTATACACACATTACAGTGGCAGTCACAAATGTATATTCTTACTGGAGTCAAACTGAGTAAAACCCAATGCAGTGTGACCATAGAGTGTGACACAACAGCCCTCTAAGAGTTTTGTAGCTTCAAGGAGGTTGTTAATGTATTATCACTTTCAGTTACTTTTTTCAACTTTGTAATGCATTTAGTCAACGTCATGAGCCATTTTGGAAATCTAAGTTTGTAGCAGATTAAATAGTGTATGTTATACAGGCCATTCTTGTAATACCATTGAGGGGTATTTAATAAACTGTACAAGCTAAGAATAAGTAAGCCTTTGTGAGAGTTGCGTTTTTATTTTGAAGGAAACGGGCAGGAAGTGTGCATCGAGAAAACGAGGGATTCTAAGCTACGCAGCTACCATCACTTTCTTGCTGCTCGTTTCTCTCATAATAACATACAATTCAACGTTTTTTGTAAACCATATTGCTTACGGTGAGTACATTACAAGTTTTAAGACTTGGTTTTGACTGGTGGATGACTAAGGTTATGTAAACTCGTAGCAACGTGTTATTTGCGGCTAACGTAAGCTAACAGTGGACTGTTGTGCTAAACGCGTGGCTCCCATTGGCTCACTTTTCGTTACACTCTTGACTTGGGAAGCTCCATTCGGCTTTACGCTTCTATATACAGCAGCCCATGAAGCTCACAAGTACTTTCGCGTTAATGTTTTTAAACGAAAACAGGTTTAGTTAAGCGTTGTAGCTAGAATGTTAGCAAAACATTAGCTATCCGGTAACAGCTCGAGTTCCCAAGAAAAGCAATAACGTACAGACAATCTTAGCAAAACATGTCAACATCGTGCTTTTATCAAAATGTGCATGTAGTTTTATTAATATAAGCGACACATATGATATGACTTGTATGCTTTATTGCTATTTGCATGTCCACCCACTCATGTAGCACAGTTACCAGATGTGTTTCCCTCTGCCCAGGTGTGCTACAATGATCATCCCTGTCCGGTGCTTTACGTGTGGGAAGATCGTGGGAAACAAATGGGAGGCATACCTTGGCCTACTTCAAGCCGAGTACACTGAGGGGTGAGATATTGCTTGTTTCTGTCATTGCACTCCATCTCTACACATACTGCCATTAGGAGCTCATAGGTACCCTTAAGTACCTTGCATTGGAACCTCTGCGCCAAAGTAATTTTCTAGAAGCAGTCTGGGAGTACAACACATCAGATTTGATCCTATTCATCTGCAACAAGGTATGGTCATGTACTCCTTGGTTTTAAGTAGTCCACATTTAGACTTGTGACGCAATGAATAATAGCCATTACCTAAGGCCATTTACGCTGTTACCCTGACTATTATCTGAACTAATGCTTTACTTATTCATTCAGCCTGTATGCCATGCATTAGGAATAACGTTGCTTTCTTCTTCCCTCTTAAGTGATGCGCTCGATGCCCTTGGCCTGAAGAGGTACTGTTGTCGGCGGATGCTCCTGTCTCATGTGGATCTTATTGAGAAGTTGTTGAATTATGCCCCTCTGGAGAAGTGATCATATCTGGCCACCTTCAAGAACAGCATGGACTTTGTAGGGTTGTTGCATGGATTGATTGAATGTCCAAGCAACAGCTTTGTTAGTATATTGAAGTGACCACAGACTACAGTGAAGACTAATGGAACATTCTTTTTTTTGGTTTAAATGCATTTTTCTAAATAAAGCTGTTAAATGACACTGTTACCTGTATTACTGGCTCATGTAGTTACCGTACTCTTTTGACTGAGACTATAGAGGAAAGATGGTTTCTCACACTTCTTCTCATGTTTGTATCAGTGCACTATGCAACTATAAGCATAGTGTTATATTGTATAAAATGGCTGCTAGTAATTTTATTTTTGTATAAAATAGGCCTGATCAAGACTTCAGAAAGTTGAGGTAAAGATGACAATTTACAAGTTGCTTTGAATGAAGTGCAATCAACAATGGCAGAACAACCTTAAAAAAAGCAAGAATCCTGCAAGTTCATTAGCTAACAAGCCAAGCCATTGTAAGTGCTACTGCTTTGGCTTCAAATAAACCAAAACTGACGCCAAAAAAAGTGGTATGTAAAGTACAGAGATTTATTTTTTTGGCCAAGGTGCAGGAGAAACAGGCGGAAGATGTGTAGACTTCGCACTTTCCTGATATCAATGGAAAATTGTTTCACCAATACTGAGCCAGGGTGGCAAACGGGTGTTCTTGTTGAAGGGTACATGTGTCCCGCTTGCTGTGGTAAGACGATTGGCTGTAAATATTTATATAAATAAAATGTATGCTCAGTAAGGGCGGTATTTAATGCAAACCAAATATTTGAGTAGAATGAAAATAGCAGAATCACATTTTCAGGGAATGTTTTTAATCTTAAATTGAATACAAAAGAAAGTGATGAAAACATTACATTGTGTTCATAAGTTATTGAGTGTTCCTGCGCATGCAATCAAGAAATTGTCCCAGCAACAATCTAAAATCAAATTTTTTCTTAAAACAAGTTAAAGTTGCAGTATTTACAGATGACTGGAGAACCAAAATGTACACTTTAGAATTCTTCTTCTTCTTCAGTCTCACCTTGGATATCTCCAGATTTGAAGCACTTGGACTAAACAAATAGTCCTGACTGCTCTTCACCACCCTTCAACATTCCATCTGTCGGGGGGGGAAAGACATTTTTTAAATCCATACTTACACAATCCATTAAAACCCTGAAAACCTAGAAATCCGCAATCCTTATACAAACATAGTGAGAAATATATTATAGTTATGGTTATGATTTTAACTCACTACCAGGTTAACTTATGTATGTAATGTAAAAGGAGGCCAGTTTTGAATTGTGCTTCTGCATAGTAAAAAGCATAATAAGCAAAAGGACATCTTTTGAGAGGTCAAAATATTAGTTTTAATCAAATTAAAGTCCAGAGGGTTGAAGATGGTAACCTTAGCTTGTGTAAAACATTTGGGCGAACTACTTAAATTCAGTAAATACAATGATAATAATTTTACATTATTGGGGTCACTAAAAGGAGGATGTGGAAATCATTTTTAAAAAAAAGAAGCAAACATCTGATTGATGAAAAAGTATAAGTATTACAATTAGAAAGAAACTTACCATTTTAACGGTAACGGCCTCTCTGATCCCTCTGCTCTCGCTGGTCTCTCTGATCCCTCTGATCCCTCTGCTCTCGCTGGTCTCTCTGATCCCTCTGGTCTCTCTGATCCCTCTGGTCTCGCTGATCTCGCTGATCTCGCTGGTCTCTGTGCTCTCTCTGATCTCGCTGATCTCTGTGCCTTTCCCGTTCCCGGGAGCGTTCTTTGTCTTTCTCTTCGCTTCGGGAATGTTGCCGGTGTCTTCGGGACATTCCTGCAACGTCCCAATCAGAAGAGTCTTCTCTGTCGCGCTCTCGATCCCGCTCGCGCTCTCTGTCACGACCCCTGTCCCGGTCTCTTTCTTCTTCCCCAGAACGACTGCTTTTCCTGCTGAGAAATGTGTATTTGTCTCAACCTGTTTCTTTATGGACAAAAAGATGTCTGAGGGTCCTGAAGAATAATTAAACAAACCTGTAGCTGCTGTTTCCCTGGATAGAGACTAGACAGTCTTTGAGCGAGGTGACCAGGGCCTGGCAGCGTTCATCTGTATACACTCTGGACTGCTTAATGATGGCAATGGCCGTTAATAGAGTCTCCATGGCCACCCGCAAGTCTCCTGCATTAGGAGGAGAATATATATAAGAGACAGTAACGTAGTTAAGCCCTTCAATTATGGTTGATAGTATGCCAACTTGGATTATTACAAAACCCTTGAAAAATGGATAACATTTACCCCCCACATACAGTTTATTTAGGCAAAAACGAAAACATAGTTTCCTAAACAGTTACTTATCCTACAATTTCTGTCAAAGCTACAACCATTTTTGGTTAGTTTACAAGAGTGATTGTCAGTATTTTGATTTTTGTTAGTTTTAACAGTTTAAGCAGTTGAATTAATTTCTGCTTTGTCATTACAAAAAGTACTTTGTTAATTTAGTAACTTTCCAATGATATACTGTATAACATAACAGATTACCATTTACTTTCCATTAATATTGTAAGAGGGGTGGGAAACAGATTTTGGTTAAAAGAAATGCTCACAAGTCTATCAGTCCTTTCTCCACATTAAGTTTTGTGTTGTTGTACTCCGCAGAATATGATCAGCTTTACTTACCGGATGTTGCTCCAGACACAGCCTTGCTGATGGCACTGCTGGCAATAGCTCTATTTCTGTTCATCAGCTGCTCAAAATCTGCATCTTGACTTTGAGATGTGCGTCTGAAAAATGTACAGATTGTCATAATTATTTAACCATTTCCACAAGTCATCGCTAAAAATAATAAATGTTATCTCAATAGGGAAGCAAAACATATTACACTGCTGTTTATTTGCTATAGCTTCAAAATGTATAAAGGTATTATTCTCACTGTTGTTGGCTGTAAGCGTTGCTGCTGGGCCCGTCTGGTGCTGGCGTGAAGAAGGCTGGATTGACATGTAGACTGGGAGGTTGGCTGGGAATATGGACTGGATGAGGAGGGAAATAAGGGGGCGGCATGGCGGGTGGAGGCATGGGTGGAAGCATGGGCGGAGGCATGTGTGGAGGCATGCGTGGAGGCATGTGGGGAGGCATGTGTGGGGGCATGCGTGGAGGCATGTGTGGGGGCATGTGCGGAGGCATGTGTGGGAAGGGAGGTGGAGGATGACCATGGTAAGGGTTGGGTAAGGATGGAAACCTGTTTGCAATTGGATGTGATGGGTAGTGTGGAGGTAAAGGGGAAGGATTGGGCTCCTGTGGTAGTAATGAGGGAATCTTGTTCGAATAATCTGAGTCCTTAGGATCTAAGTAACTAACGCGCATGGGTATACCTATGGAGAAAACATTGATTTTGTTAAAGAGGACAGTCATACTTACATCTTATCATATAATGTTACCTCAATAGCATTCTCAGACCATGCTGTTCTTACGTCTATTTGCCATGTCTTCAAACACACCAAGGTTCTGGCTGGTGGCAAGGCGGCAGTCTATCCTCTCCCCATTGAGCTCACATTTGGGTATTTTTTTAAACAATATTTTCAATGACTCGTTTGAGGTGACCTCTACTTCGGCGAACCTGCATGTGTAACATAGAAGAAAAAACAATTAATGTATGGCTTTAAGTCACTGATATTCATATCTTTAATAAATCAAAACACACATTTCCTTACTTATAAGCAAATACATTTAGAGAAAATACTTTTATTCATAAAAAAGAAATACTAGATCTGCAACCACTCACCCTCTCGACTGGCCATTAATTTTATTCTCAGCAAATTTGATCTCTCTGATGTCCTGCACACCCAACGTTTGAGCCAGGCTCACAATGTCCTTGTCAGTTGTCCACTGGAAGTAGTAGCATGTTTGCGAAATAGAGGAGGAAAAAATGACAGGGGGGTAGATATTTACTGGTGATCTTGAATGTGATAAGGGTACGTAGTTCTGTTTCATCTAATCACTGTTCTGCAAGCCTATGTGGATAAAACAACGGAAACAATATTGGACAACACAATTGAAATGTGATTGAAATAAACAGAGAGGGTGTTACTCACCCAGGGGAAATTTCCAATATATATAGCCAGTCTCCTCTGTGGGTTTCCTTTGTCTGGGCATTTCTCTGTTGTTGAGTAAGCCTCCTCTTGAGTAGGGGTCTTGTTAGGACTCGCTGCATTTGTACCGCCTTTCTTGTCCCGATCGACTGAGCCGGTCAAAACAGCATCATAAAGTTCATTTGCTTCAGCAATTGTGTCAAAGTCCTGTGTGGGATGGGAACAAAACAACAAGGTACTTATATATGATGGCATGCTGGGTAAGTCAATGTGCAGAGCATTAACGAACAATACACTGCCAGAAGAAATACAAAACCAAGGGGTTGTCAGCTGCTGCAGGAGTGTGGAGTGCATGTGATTATTTCCATATTTTATAGAATTGCCCATTACTACTACAGGCTTGAATAAGATGATGTGGCATCTAGTTTTTAAACGTGACTCCAACAATCAAATAGTTCTCTCCACACAACAAATAAAAATACTGAACAAGGTTCACACAGTTATGAAATGGAAATCAAACCACTGTTTAGTATTCTATATATAATTGCATATCGGAAACCGTTTTTAATACTATATTTTGAAAGAAAGGATACTTCCTCATAAATACCTAATAAACACAATCTGCCCTTTCTGTGATGAATAATCTGAAACAATTGAACACCTTTTTTGTACTGTTCTCACACAAGGGAAATCTGTCAAGACCTTTGTATAATTATGGATAAATGTGGTGTATGGTTTCTTTAACAACCTAAGAAAATACCTGTGTTTTTTCAATAGAAATGTTTATAATGATGTTGGAAAAATCTAACTTCGTATTAATAACTGTAAATTGAACCAATCGTAATTGGTAGTTGCATGCATGTAAGTTGATGTATTGTCTTTCTGTTTAATTAAAAACGATCAGATAACAAGTTGCATTTAAACTACATCAAAGCAATGTACGCACAACTTTGCATGTATACATTTGCTGCTATCATGTATGCATGTGCAGTGATAAATGTGTGTAAAGATGAGACTCACATCGTCGTTTTCATTCAAATCCCCGTACAAATCCATGAGCTCCTTCTGGGCGGCACTTGGTCTGGCTGCAGCAGCCATCCCGTGGGCCGAAGATGATCCAGTTGATGGCACTGGAGCTAACGTTTTGTTTCTTTGTTTAAAGTGTCCTTTGCATATGCACACTTTTTAAAAATTACCAGTGCATACCGTCAACATATGCAATGTAAAAAAAAAAAGAAGGATTTTCGATAACGTTACGCCGCGTTAATAACGTTAGCTTACTTGAACCAACCGCACGGTTTTGCACGAAATGTCAAGTTAGCTCAACAAAAGACGATGATAAACCGAGAATACAACAAGCGAGGCTCGTCAATAGGTAATGTTTTAATAACCACTTTCAAATAACATGAACGGGCTTTCATGTAAGGGTTACAATACAAATAGTGTTGGACTATTATTGGTTCGCTCTATGATCAGCTAATGCTAGTGCTAATTTCTGTACGTGAATACGAGTGCGTCGGTAACATGTACCCGTTAGCAACAACACACAACATTTGGTTCCTACAGCCACGCTTTTTTACATGTATGATGGTATTTATTATAAAAGATAACTACAAATAAACGAATTAAGTGACAACTTAACTAAATCAGGTTGGGGCTGGTTCTGTTTTTCTGTGACTTTTGAGGAATAATTGCTGTTACTGAAACAATGCGGTGTTTCCGGTCCTACCTCGATCGTGGTCCGTGTGCTGCTGTGACGTAAAACCTGCTTGTGTAATTTTACTGATTTGAGACTGACATTCAGAGTTCAGCAGCGTTTTCACGGCGGAGAAGCATTTCACCTTGAAGTCTCTAAACGTTTCAAGAAAAAGGTCAAAATGCTGTCTTCTGTGGTTGCAAGAAGAGTGAGTTATCTTATTATCGTTACAATTATCTGTATGTTTGTTAAGTTTGAATGCTAGTTAATGTTACGGTCGTTGCAATCATATAAATATACTCTAAAGTGGACAGCTGTTTAAAGATCTCACGCTGATTTACACTATTTAACATGAGTGTAAAGTAATTGTAATGTTGCAACCTTATATTCGATGTTGTGGTTGAATAACTAGCGTGCATTGTTGTGTTCAGTCTCGTTACGTAGCATTGACGTAACGCGTGTTGTGCAGCAGGACAGTTATACAATCCAGGACTGCATGGTTTAACATCTTTTTTTGTTGTAAATGTAGTCTCAAAATGTCTTCATTCTGCTGTGTAGAAATACAGATCTTGAAACCAAACGATTATATCATATTATATGAAAATTAGTTGAATTTACTTGCAAAGATAGATAGGGGGACAATCAAACCAACACATGTATTGGTGGATAAATGAATATATAGACACATATAATTAAATAAAAGACTGAAGATTAATTCATATATATATTAAGATTGGTCTCAGTTTGATAGAGTACTGTAAATTCATAAAATGATCTCACTTTACTGTAATTATTTTCTTTACGTTTACGGTAACATAACTTACTATTCTAGTCTTAATATCACATTACTGTTTTAAAAAAAATATATATAAATGTGTACATTTTGTGTGAAAGCAGCACTAATTAACCTACAATATTGTATGATATTTAGATATATATTGTCAAAAATGATGTGATATTTCCTGCAACACACTGTACTAATATTTGTCAACATGTGTGTTTCCCCCCGCCAGCTGGTTTCAGGGGTGTGCCAAGCAGCAATGAGACCTGCGTTCACAGGGCTGGTATCATCTCGTGGTTACCGTGGAGATACGGCAGACGACACCAGGGCAGACCTGATTGAGATCCCTCTGCCTCCCTGGGATGAGCGCCCCGGCGAGGCCATTGACATTAAGAAGCGCCGCCTGCTGTACGAGAGTCGCAAAAGGGGCATGTTGGAGAACTGCATTCTGCTCAGGTTGTTACACTGAAGAGTTTTTCTATAATCTGTCATGTTGGTGTGTTGTTTTTTCTTAAAGCAAATCACACATTAGAGCAGTGGTGCAGTACAGCTGTGTCTCAAGTTTAAATTGTACCTTTTTTTTAAAATTAATTCTTAAAGTTTTTCCTCTTTCTAGTTGAAGATCACAGCATATAAGATGGCTGGGCCAGGCAACAATGGGCACTAAAATAATCGTAAACAGTAATCAGTAGTCATCAGCAACATTTGTATTGTAGGAAAACATCCTACAGGTAATTAAAAGCAGTGTAAGGGGGCAGGAGGGGGAATTTAACTAGGAAAAGCCTAATTTGAGATAAAAAAAAAATACCCATCTCAGGACTGTCTTGGCCAGGTCTAGCAGCTGTTTCATCCAACATAAAACACGCACATCACAGCACATACCGGAGACGATAGCTTCTAGAATTTCTCAGATGGATACATTTACATAAGTATGAATATGCCTTTATAAATACAACATTTCAGTTACATAATGTACAGATGGACAAAAGGAGCCAGGTGTGAGTGAGGACCTTAATATTTGTAAACCTCCAAAATCCCAGATTTACGTGCTATAGGAAGTATACAGTAGAACAACTAGAAACTTTGAAGAACACATCCTCTTAAATCTAGGACAAAGGGACGTAGACAAGGACCAACACCAGAAGCAGGCATTAATACAACATGAAGAAACCCAAAGAAGAAGCTGTTTCCTGTGTGCTGTCCATTCACTGGTCAATTTAGCGAAAAGCCTGAACCTAATTTCCCATCTCTCTTGCAGCCTTTTTGCGAAGCAATACCTGAACACAATGACAGCGAGCCAGCTGTATCAGTACGACAGACTGATTAATGAACCAAGCAACGACTGGGACATCTACTACTGGGCAACAGGTGAGAGAACATCTCATAGTTTCTCCTCAGACATGTGATATTGCCTCTCAAACAGTACAGTAGACATATGACATTATCATCATTAGTTAGAAGGCTGGCAACACTCCAGTCAGAGGCATTTTAGACACTTAAGGGAATGTTGAAATGCTTTAGATTTTCAGTGCAAAACATTTAAATATTTAATGACACAAATACATTTCAGCTTTGCAATATCAATGTTTACTCAAGTTGCAAATAACACTATTTCCTAGAGATGTAACGATACCAAAAAACTCACGGTACGATAATATCGCGATATTGAAAAAGAAAGAAATGTGAATTTTTTTCTTTCTTTTTTTTTCTTTATTAAATAATAAATCAGATTTATACAGCATTTAGTAGGATAGTAGTATTTTTAAAGTGTCAACAAATATAATAATCCAGACCCTGCAATAGAATAAACAAGTTTCCACTTTTTTTCAAGTAACTCAACTCTAACTCACTCACTCACTCACTCAGCATCATCAAGGTTATCTTTTAGGAATATGAGCATGTCCACATTTCCAGGTAGAAGCTGGGATGTTTGGGCGTTTACAATATCCCCTGCTGTGGAAAAAACTCTCTTGCTTGGTACTGATGTTGCTGCGACAGAGAGATATGCTTTGGCCATGGGTGACAGCAGTGGGTCAAACTGTGCATTGTCTCTCCACCACTTCAAAAACAATATAGTTTTTCCAAGAAGGTTAGGCTTATTGACAGGGCGAGATATAAATATACTGTTGGTACTTGTCAATGTCTCTAGGTATGTACATGTAGCCCTGTAAATACCATGTCCTTTTGTGCTATCTGTTGTTTTATGTTCATGTTGTAATCTACTTGCTGCCATGTGGGACAGGTCTCCCTTGAAAAAGAGATCGATGATCTCAGTGGGACCATCTGGCTAAATAAAGGTTTAAAAATAAAAATTATTTAAAGAAATCACGGTAGATTTTGTCAGTCTCACGACGGTATTGAGACATTTATTTACCGCGCTATTCGATATATCGTTACATCCCTACTATTTGCTCTAACAGCGACAGTGATATCAGACTTTCTTCTTTTAAATTCAGTCTCTAACACAACAAAATGCAGAAAAACTGCCGTGGGCGTTATACAAAAAGCCTTTTTTTTTTAAACTGGCAATTATTCATGGCTGAGGATGCCTAGATAATTAAATCGGTATTCTGCCTGCAAATAAACTCCACTCCTGTTGCTGTTTTTTCTTCAACGTTCCATTTGGCTCAGACTTCATCCTCATTGCTCATTCCCTGTCCCAGTATAATTTACCCGCTTTATTCATCTAATTTTCCCTAATTTGATTCAGTTATGCGGAACAGCTGAAAAACTTAATCAGTGTGAGTTTAGCACCAACACGCGTCCAAGTGGCTAGACAAAACAAAAGCTGTTGCTTTCTTTACTCAAATAAAGTCTGCATACATAGTTTTAGTCTCAAATTATTAATGAGATTTTTTCAAATAAACAGAATAATAAGCTGAGCATTTCCAAAGTCTGACCACTGATAGGCTTTGAATTATGCTGTACTCGCCATTAGCAATATGGAGAGACCTGATATCACAGCGTCTAATTTCTTGTCTTTTAATATTTATTGTACAATGCCATGTCTTTTTATGCTGCTGCAACACAAAACAATCCCACATTGGGATCAATAAAGTTCCATCTTATCTCTTATGTTATCTAATGTCTGACAGCAGAGATGTTGTTTGGCTGCTGTTGCCTGTGTGAAGGATCATAACTTAGTTTTTTCCATTACTCAATAATGAAAACCACAAACATCCAGGTGATTATTTTCCCTAGCAGCAGGAGCAAAAGATCATGTTGAATAAGTAAACGTCAGCCTTTTAGTTTTATGTTGTCAGCTTTTCCTAAAATAGACCAAAGTGATGTCAGGAGGGCTCCCCTCTGTGTGCTTGTTGTTCTTTAGACATTGGTCATAATTAAAACTGTTCTCTTTGTGCTTACAGAGGCTCAGCCCACCCCTGAGGTTTACCAAGGAGAGATCATGGATATGCTGCAGGAATTCACAAAGAACCGTAACCAAGAGCAGAGGTTAGACGCACCCAGCCTGGAGTACCTGGAGAAGGAGAGCCAGTAGCCCAAGGCTCTGTAGACCTGCTCAGAGACACATTAAAGGAGGGGCATGGGGAAATATCAGCGGTATAACCAAGAAACAGCCTCCAGAGGTTAGCTGTGATTCTCCACTTGGATGGAAAATGTTGAGAACACGTCTATCATGTAATATCCTCTCCATGAAATAATTTGCCATGAAAGCCCCCACCCTATATTTATTTTCATTATATAAAGAAGAACATCTGTGGAAGCTGAGGGAAGTTTGTGGATGGGTTAACGCAGCATAATGTTAGGAAGGGGTTCTTAATATTCTACATGAATTGTACATTTCTGATAAAAACTGTATATTAAAAGTTCTCAATGTGTGAGATGCTTACTGAATAAGCCCGCTTTGATAAATGGTTACAAGCAGATAGTCAGTTATACAACGACGATTATAAAGAAACACATTGAATCACACATTAGCGTAGCTTGTTGAATTGTCTTGGTTCTGTTCAAAGATTTGATTGTGCCTATTGCAGACATGCTGGTTATTTAATAAATGTTGATGTCTACATATTTTGTCATTTCTATTTCCTCCCACTAAAGGGTTAAATAGCACACTGAAGGTTACCATGGATGACCGTATGAACATTATTTGTTGCATAATAAAGGTTGTGTGGCTTGCAGTGTGAGTGTATGGACACCAGAGGGAAGCAGATCACCTGATATCCACTGACGGTCAATCTAAAGCACCTGCTGATCTTGGCATCTCATTGTGAAATAATGCACCTCCAACCCATAATATAGCTTACATAGCTTATTTTTCATGCACAAAACAATGTGAGATATCACTTCACAGCTTCAATATTCATAAGGATGTTGAACATCTTTTAAGATGGTGAAAACCAGTTAATAGATCAATAAAATCGTAGTACGACATTAAAGGATAAAAACAATGCTAACCATGGTAAAGTCTTTGTGTTTTTCATTACAGCTTTTATGAGAAAATATGAGTGAAATTCTCTGCCTGGCCGAGTCCCCAATTAAAATATATTTATGCTTTAAGCAATGTAAACAAGGTTATACTTCTCTCCTCCGCCGCTGCATCAGTGTGAGTTGGCTGTGGGGAGATTTTCTTGCCTTGCTGTGTGTCATGTTGGTTCAGTGAAACCTTGTACTCAGAGCAGAAGGGAAATGCCCTCTGGCCAGGAGATGTGCACAGAATCTGAAACAGATGTACGCCTGTAGAATCATAATGTGCACATGATCCGCTGTCTAGGTGTTACACAACCATGAAATCAACAGACATGAGACAAACGTTGATGTGCAGTTTCTTTCTTATCACTCTGAAGGAAGAATATGTTGAGTCAGAATCAAAGCTTATGGGTTTATGTTCCCAGCTTGTCCTAAAATAGACGCAGGTGATGTCAGAAGGGTTCCCCTCTGCGTGCTCTGTGCCTCCGCCATCTGTGCCACCATACGTCCTCATCAGCGGTGGACAGTGCATATAGCCTACTCAAGCACAGAGCTGTTATTTTTAGGTATTTCCATTTTCCAATGCTTGTACTGCATTCCACTTCAAGGGAACATGCTGTATGTTTTACTCTACAGGTGTTTTACTTGACATTTTTTGACAACCATGCTTATTCGTTTCTTTTAGGATTAGAAAAAGATCCTCTCAGTAAATACAATACACTGTTCAAAATTGAAATACTTATTTCTTAAACAGGTAAAAGTAGCCAATATTTCACAAAAAGGCCAGAAATTAAGATGAAAATGTCCAAAAGAGGAATAAAAACGTTTAACAGATCTTATTTGTTTCCTTTTCTCTCTTAATAATCATCTAACAACCACTCAGAATTATCTAGTGACCCTTTGGAAGTGGTTTTTAGTTTTGAAAGTGTTGGAGTAAAATACCCTAATTGAATAAAGAGCTGTTAAAAGAACCTCCACCTCAACCAGCTAAGCAGAGTAAAGATGCTGCTTCCATTTTAACTATTAAATATTATGTAATATTTAAGAGCAGTTGCAGTAGACTTTTTTTAGGCTACTTTTATAATTTATCATTATTTAAGTACACTTTGCTGACAATAATTGAATAGTTTTATTTAAGTATGTATTTGGATGCAGAAATCTGTATTGATTATGAATTGCTGTATCAGCTCTTTTCCTTTTATGTGAATTATACAAAACCATTTCCAACCCCTGTTCATAATGCACTGTTCACATGAGGAATTTAAAAGTTTAAATCAATTTCAACCTGTTGTGCCTGTGTTGTTGTCCTGCTCTACACAAAATAATCCTCTGTTGTATCTGAAGCTTGCTGGGTGTCACATTTCCCTGCTTTCAAAGAAAAAAGCTGCCACCTGTGGATCCCACACGCAGGGGGGAGCACAAATCACGTCTTTATGCTCAGAGGCTTGTTTGGAGTGTATTTGTTGCCCACGCACACCCACTGTGCCTATCTGTAGCCCTACGCTCCTGTCATCCTCCACTGCGGCTTCCTGTGTCGTGACAACTCTCAGTTTCATCCTCAGCCCTGCAGTCCCCCCCCCCTGCCCCCCTGGATGTTCACTTCTTCTCATGCTGTCTTGTTTCCACCTCCACCATCCTCACCCTTCATCTCATCTTCCAGTGTCTACTGCAGAGGAGCGCAAAGGGAAACTGCTCTCACTGCTAAAACGTAGTGCTACTGACAGGTTTAACTTGTGAGGATGGAGGTGTTAGATAAGCTGGTAAATTAAACAAACATTCCTTCTCGACATCACACACAAAGTTTTTCTGTTAGATCTTATCTCGAAGTTGCAGTCAAACGTAGCGTGTAGGAGGCAGAGTAGGCAATTTCCTTAATTCTAGAGATCAGCACCAATTTCCATGTTAATTACCCTTAAAATCCAGGCCCATGCTTGCAGAGTGTGAAATGGAGAGCAGATGTGTATTTCCAGCAGCGTTTCTAATGATTGTGGCTTTATCAGTTGGTCCATGTATTTGCAATTAAACTTCTACAAAATAAATTGAAGCTATCCACAGCCAAAATCTGGCTGAACTGGGATTGACAGTGAGTTAGCAGCAAGTCTCTCTGACATGTGTGACTTAGATGAAAACTGCACTTAAAACTTTTCAAATGTACACACAGATCTTTACAGTTAGAGTACAATATATCTTTACTTAACTACTTCCGTTTTATACTTACAGTCCTTTGCAAGTCAAAGGAAATATTGTATTTTGGCGGCCGACCCCTTGGTTATAGTTGTTTGAGTGTCTAAAATACCTCACAGTATATAACAAGTTACGTTATCCTCTTCTTAAAGGCTTAACTTGAAGACATCTTCGAGGTAACATCTTTATTTTCTCATAACCCTTTCATTTTTAAATTGTGAATTTTAGGAGGGGCCCAAGGTTTAGAACCACTGTACTACAAAAAGTACTAAACATATATATCCAAAAATAGTATATACAATAGTTCAAACTAGCTCCAAGTCATGCTACAACTATAAACAAATAAATATTAAATAATACTGTTTACACATGGTGGTGCATTAGTGTCTACATTCTTCATCAGTAATGTAGTACATACTTGTGTACCTTAAATACTATTTAAGTAGGATTTTGACTGAGTTTTCATTAGTTAACAACCATCTATGAATACATGTATATGTTGTAATATCAATTTTAAAAAAGCTTCTGAAAAATTCACAACAATACCAGAATTATCTTTGTTTTATATACACATTTATATTTTTATATACACTGTACAGATTTCAAAAAAATAAATGGTTGATATTTAACATTGTGCACCCCACAGATGTGTAACTACAAAGAGAAAAAGGAGTGAGAGAGGGCTGAGTGATACCAAGGACAGACAGATATCAACAACCCCAGTAAATACTGATGATTTTTTCATATTTTTTTCATACAGGACACTTCACAATCATTTATACAGTTTATAAATTAAAATGTTGCTGGTTAACCTCTCTTTAGCCTCAAGCAGTCCCCCCAAGAGAACGCCCTAAATCAGAAATGCCTGTCCAGTCAAATGTAACCAGCCCCTGGCACTTGGCTAGTGACGGGTAAAGACAGGCAAGATTTAGCTCAATTTCTTAAATCTAAAATATACCAAAACCTGACTGTTGTTAACCAATGTTTGAGTTGCATTGGTTAACGTGACTTTCACTAAGCCTTTGGAATGTAATGCTTTGTCAGCAGCACTGGAAATACTGCCTGGTTTCACACACAGGCCAACAGGACGGACAGTGACTGAGTTCCTGGTTATTTTGGGATGCTCCGATGCTCTGCTCTGACCTGAGACGTAGCTAACAGTGATGCAAAGAGGTGATGATTATCTCCTGTCTCACCTTTTTTTCCTCTCCCCCCCTTTCTCCATGACACTTGGAGCGGGGGAGCACATATGGTGAAGAGCAAAGACTTGGCAAGGTGTATAAGGCACACACAGAACACTTTGTGCCAGAAAGCATGTGTGCACGACGGGGGGGGGGTTTGGGGAGCGTCAGTTGTGATGCTAAGGTGCCACCCTTCATTATTTTTGGTCTTAGTGAATCAGATCTAAAGGACAGATGGGACGAAATGTTGTAGCTGCTCCTGTTTGAACTTAAACGTTATGTATGGAGAAAGACAGGGTTTTATGAATCTGTCGTAAAGCTTGTTTGTGACATTTTCCTTCGACCTTCCCTCTCAGCTCATGCGTAACAGATTTGCTTCTCTTTTCAAGCCAAGCGTTCTTGAAAACCACACGAGGAAAAAAACCCTGCCACGAAGAGAGGTTTGTTCCAGCATCATTGTCAACAAGTGCAGTGATTTTTAAAGAAGTGACAACTTTAAAAAAACATATCTCTTTGTACATCTGGATTGTTTTATACAGAATAAAAACGGTAAACAATGTTCTGTATTAAACTGGCAAAATAGAACTCAGTGCAGATATATACACACAGAGGGACTCACAGAGAATACAATCACACAAACTCAAGTTCAAATATTGACACTCACACACATACACACTTCCAGTAGACAAAACGAACAGTATGTATAAAGACTTTCCCCCCAAATATTATTACTGTCATGTATTTCACAAATGTCTACATGGGGGAGGCCACACTCAGGCAGCGAGGCAAACACCTGGAAGACTGTTTTGTACTTACTTTAAAAGCCCAAGAAACTAAAATCATGTTTATGTTGTCCTTGGACTCATAGTGCTCGGTGAAAATGAGTGTTTTGATGCACAAATTAATAATGGAAACATTTTATCTACATTTGATTTAGTAATATATTAGAGTCTATAACCCTAACAAAGTCATTTACTGCCGGCTATCATAAATTGTCAGTTTACCTAAATCACATTTTATGGGTAGGAGAGAGAAATAAATAAAAGATCAGCTTTCTAGATTTTTCATTAGAACTGCATCTCATTAAAAATGTTGTTCTATTCATGGCTTGCACAATATTGACCAATTGTCAGGCGGCTCTGTTGAACATTTTTTGGTCTTCTTCGAAATAACTGAGTTGTGATTGAAAAAACGTAGGAAAAAAAGCTAGTGAGGGGACATTGAGTTTTTTTATCACGAGTACAAGAACCCCTCTTGATATCAAGCCATGCAGGGAGTTTCCGTTTGAGTTTCTGTTGTGCTGCTGACAGCCTTCCCTCCAAAGAAATATGATTGAGGTTCATTTTGTTTGTTGAGCTCAAATGATAAATTTAGCCATTTTCACCGCCTTCTCCCAGTCCCAGTGAAAACAATTCACTGTGGGGTTTGTGGATTATGAGATTAACCAGAACATTGTTTCTGGAGAGACATGCTGCTGTCTCTGAAGCCATTTCAGAGGCAGAGCATTATATTGAAATACTATTTATCTCTTTGCATTTAGGGCGGCGGCGGTAATTTCAGGGGATCAAACCCACAACATATACATCTGAAACTATCTGCCTGGCTTAGGGGCAAATTAGAAAATACTGTATGTATGCGTGTCAGTGATTTAGGTGGACCGGCCCTAACCTCAGTGACCTCCCCTCGCCTTCAGCTAACTTCAACACTACGACTTCTAATAATACCTTACGTTCACTGTTATTATCAAGGGCTGTTTTCAAAAAATATCTTCGTCTTATCCTAATTAAGCTGTTCATGTCCAAAATACTCACACACACACACACACACACACACACACACACACACACACACACACACACACACACACACACACACACACACACACACACACACGTTGGCTTTTTGCTTATTTTCTGTGTCTGGAAGAACAGGTTGATTCTCTACGGTTTTTTTTAATACCAAAAAAGAAAAACACAACATTAATCACTTGACTTTTTTTCTGTCCATCGGGAATTATTTTCCAAAAAAAAGTAACTTTTTTTTCTGACACTGGTCAGCATTAAATGTTTACATCCTTTTTTTCCCATGAAGATCTTCATTTGGGGTTACAGCACATCACCCACATCAAGCACAGACAACAAAGGGTTCCAGCCAAGGGACAATTATTACAGTGGTGCCAGAAAAACAGGGAAAAGTGAGAAAATATCAAACACATGAACAGGGTGATGAGAGTCCGATTCCATCTTAAATAACACCCATCCCTCTTCCATTGCCTGTGTCGGTTTTCCTGATTTTTCAGGCGTTTTGGGGGTATGGAGGAATAATGACAGGAACAGAAAATATCTGTAAAGAAGAGGCGAGGTGCAGAGCGTAGCATTCTTCATTGCTTCATCAGGTGAAGTGGGTAAATGGATTGAGTGCTGCAGTCTTGCCGCCACAGAGAATAGTTGGAATATGATTTTGGTCCATTTTTGGTTGGTAGTTTGTATTTATGGGTGGTAAGAGGTACTGCTCTGATGTTAAACACTGGGAATGGCTGACAAGGGAGAAAAAAGACCAAGGAGCTTCTGAATGAAAAAAATCTCATAGAAATAGGCCACAAGGAGGAAGTGAGTAAAGACATCAAAGCCATTTTTAAGTTCAGACAAAGAGATGAGACGGGGGTCGGGTGGGAATTTAAACTTGATGAGGGGTTAAAATGTAAGGATGCTGTCACAAGGGCTGAGGGCGGAGGATATCAAAGAGGCCTGAGAACAAAGAGATGACACACATTGTCTGCACCCAAGACTGTAGTTAGGGAGTAAGGGGGATGTGCTGAGGGGAGGCTGAATCGTGAGGGGAGAAAACACTATCGGCATGTTTGAGGTCCCTCAGGCCTTCAGAGCATGCCACTGGGACACGGGGTTACGAGGACGACCCATCATGTCTTTCCAGTGTTTTACCTCTGCAGGGCCGCTCTTCCAGGAAAGATAAATCTGTGAGAAAGAGAGAGTCAATGTAACCCGAGCACTGTCACACAGAGATTGATGTGTATTTGTAAGGAGCTTTATCCCCCGAAAAAAAGGAGTAAGCAAATGTTAAGTCTAGTCGTGATTTCGCCACTAAGCCTGCCACTCTAATCGGAATTTTACTCGGAGATTTCACTTTCTGAAATATGCGGAGAAAGGCTAATGCTGACTCTAATGAAGTTGAAAAGCTGAGTCTTTAAGTAATTCTTATGTGGGAAGAAACGTCTGATCCGTACATGTAACAGTATATAACAGTATACTGTACATTGTACAGTATACTGTACATTGTCCTCCGACCAGCTTGAACTTATTTATGAGTGTGGTTATAATAAGCACCATATTATTACTGCTGTGTGTAGGCAGATAATATATGTGGTTAGGACGGCAATTACTGAAGATGTGCATGAATGACAGAGAGCGAGGTGGCTCATCCCGTCAGTACACAGCGCAAAGATTATTATTACAGTGTCTGAAGAAACAAGCTTTGGGGTCTTTCCAATATTTTGTTAAGAAATTATACATTTTTGAATATGTTAGAGCTCTTTCCTCCAGTATCTATACTTAGAGATATGAGTATTACATTTAAATACAAGGAATTGGAGCTGAAGAGATGCTTGAGTTGCATAATGATACATATATATATGTAACAGGATAAACATGTGGAGGAAAATAATGAAATATCAGCCAGAAAGGCAATGCATTATCTAACGGGTGTGTAAATTCCTAATACATTTCCTAAGAAGTTTTCTGTAAGTAGCAATGTAATTTGGCAATAATTTAGCTGAAGCTGAGTGTTAAATTGATACATTGAACTAATTAATTCCAATTAATTGTTGAGCTAGCATAGCGGAAACTCTTTCGGTCCTGAATAAACTCATTTTTCTTCATGATGAGCCCGTCTACAGGAAACATCCTGAGACAAAAAAGTAAATAATAAGAAATAACAGATCTTAACACACTTTCTGTATTTAGTGTACATGGAAAATGTCCTTTCTAAGGAGTGGCTGTATTAACATACAAGTGCATGGACCTGTATTTGCCTGTACATCATGCTTATTTTCTTTAGTATGTCTTGATAAAAGCAACTGTTCACAATCTAAAGGAAGTGTTTTGAGTTCTTCTCATATATTAATTAATTTACAATGCAGAATATAGCTAAGTTTTCCAGCAGGGGTCAGTAGAGCCTGGTTCATTGATCAGCTGCTGATGGTCTGTCAGAGTCAGGAAACACAGAGGAAGAGAAGAAGAAGAAGGAGGAAGAAGAAGAAGCGAAGAAGAGGGAAGAAGATACCTTTCCAATGACATCATTGCGACTGAGCCTGTCCTTGTCCATGACGGTGATAATGATGGTGGTCTCCCTCAGCACGTGGGCAGGCACGTCGAACGGGAAGGACTCGTTGAAAACCGGGTTCAGGCAGCGCTTCATGGTCACCGTCTTCTTCTTTTCCACACGCTTGTCCTTGTGCATCAACCACAGTTTTACATAGGGGTCTGAGGAGAGGGGGATATGTGTTTAGTATTATTCCTGTTTACCACAGTTCAATATGAGTTCGTCAGGGATTTGAGTGATAGTACTTGAGCATCAATAATGTTTAAGGACAATAGAAGGACATGGGGAGGAAGGATCATCTATACCAGAAGTGCCTCCAATGTCCATGGCTTTGAGGTTGCGGGCTTTGATGATGCTCACAGTGATGGTGTTGGCTGTGGGGTTGTAGCACAGAGACACAAGCAGATCCCCTCGACTCCCCTGGAGAAATCACAAACAAAAACAGCAAATTATTTACTTCTTCATCCCGTTTTCACATCGTCTTCCTTTCTGTTTGCATTCTGTGTATTTCTGTTTCTTCCTCTGGCTATCTCTGTTGTCTCCATCTACCTGTCAGCCTCTCCTTATTCCCTTCTTTCTCTTCTCCCACCAGCACGTTGCCACATTTCCCCTGAGGGCATCACGGCAGCCAGGAATGACATCACCCGTTACATACTGTCCCATCCTCTCTCTCTCCCCCCTCCTCCCTCTTCCTCCTTCCTTCCCTCCCCCGTTTTCCTTCTTACTCACGCTGCCATCGCTACATGGTTGCAGCTCCTTCCAGAAAGTCTGCATGTTAGCCAGGTCCAGTTTGTTGAGAGGGATGGACACCTCTCCTATGGGGTCGTTCCTGCTGAAGCGGTCGTAGTCCAGAACCTGCAGGTACAGAGTCCTCTGGACCACCTTATCATAGGGGAACCCTGAAAAACAGCACCGTCCCAGTAGGACACAGTGAAGGCTCAAAGCTCAAGGCTCAAATCGGCCATACGAACAAAGCTACAGAGCAGTTATGACGATGAAAATCATAGGTCACAGTAAAGGGAAAAGCCTGTGAGTGCCTGCAAGTGCAAACATTGTTATTTCATGTATTATGTATGTATTAGGAAAGCTTCCTCCAACAAACCTTCAAACAGGAAGGTCTCGTTCCAGTGAGGGTTCAGATTCTTCCTCTTGACTTTGGTCTCCAGTTTGTGCTTCTTATCTGGCAGCAGGTACAGTTTGACAAACGGGTCAGAGGTGCCGGAAAAGTCCTTGGCAGGTAAATCCTGGCCTTTGAGGATTTTGACAGTAAGGGTGGAGTCCTGAAAACTGTATCCGACACTGAACTGAACACGACCCAGCTTCTCACACACCGGAACCTCGTGGTCATCTTCCTCCGAACCTGGAGACAGCTAAGGGACACAGGAGGAAGAGGAGAGAAGTGTTTTTATTCAACTATGTGGTAGCTTCATTGAAATGGAGGAAGTATTTACTTATTCATTACTCTATTTTGAAAGAAGATAAAACCAGATATACATTTAGTGTTGTTCATAAGACGTGCAAATTACATTTTTAGCACTATCTACAAATACAGAGGAGTATTTGTAACTATTTGTATCATGTATCAACCAAGTTTATTGATTACCTTCACTGATATAGCTAAATGACATGTACACATATTAAAACCATCTTATAGTATAACACTTACAATACAATACAGTAACACCAACTAGAGCCAAACAACCACAAAACAAATGTAAGCACGACTGCACAACACCATGGAGTGCCTCTCACAGATGTGATATGTTAGTCAGGTAACATGGCATCTGTCCGTGATGACGCAAAAATTATTATAATAAATGATACTTGAAATCTCAGTTAACAGCTCACTGGTACGTCCACACAGCAGCTTTAAAAAAATCTTCCAACGCTTCCAACGCTTCTCTGCCCATTGACTTTGATTGGGGGTGACGTCACTTTGCCTCGCTTTTCGCCAAACTGCATCGTGGGGAAGCAAAGCGAAGATTTCCAGGATTTTCAGGATTCAAAAGTTGAGCAATGTTCAACTTTTGAAGCTGAGCTGGAAGAGTCAGCCAATCAAATCCCGTTTATGCAAATCTGACAGTACAAGCGCTAGCCAATCAAACCGCGTGTAAGCTGGGAGAGCCAGAGCACAGTTCATTTCCTCATATTCCAAACGAGAAATTACGGTAGCAAATCACCCGGTTCTTTACGACCAGAACTATTTACCGGGATACAAACTACAATCACTTTGGACATGATCTCTGTAAAGTCTGAACGCGCTTCACCAACCCTCTGAAGACCCTCATCATTTACTTTGGCTATTAGCACTGATCTGAATTGGATCCTTCTTGAAACGAGGCTCATTTGCATTGAAAGGGGCCAATTTTGCGCCAAATGTATGCATATTTTATCATTTAAATAAATGCAAATTGCACAGGCTCAATAAAATGGAATTTGCCCAGCAGTGCAGTTAGGTGTGATTTTCAAAATCAGTGTTTTGAAAATAACAATGTTTTTCGTTGTGTTATTTGCATAGGTGAAGTGGCCGCAAAAGCTGTGCACCCACCTGTGGGTCTTTTATATAATATGGAGTAGTGAATGAGTGATGAACTGATATTTTATTTACTCAGAATCAGAGAATATTTGAACATTTAAAGTTCGGAAACTGAGGAAACTACATTTCTTGATAAATACCATGTGACACATTTAAAGGCTCCAGAACAAATCAAGCAATAAGACCTTAATTGAAATAGTTTTGCCTACAGGTGGTCAAGAACAAATGTCAAGGACAACTACAAAGTAAGATCACATCTCTAAACATTTAACTGATTCAACTTTATGAAAGTAGGATTTATTGCAGGGGTGTTGCATTTATCTGAATATGTTTTAAGCATGTGAACACCATTAACTGACATTCTTGTTTAAGTTTATACAAAATGTAATATTTTAAGAATCGGGCCACTTTCATCTGACAGGTGTGTTCATACTAAAAGAGGATATTGGACTCCAATCCACAAGTGGCTCTAATTTTGCACTTCAATATTAAAAATCCAGCTCCTAACTGGCAAGTAGCATAATATGGTGCCATATGGCTGCTGTTAGCTGTGTGATAAAGGCAGAAATTGTGCATGGCTGTGTGGAGATGAGAAGCAGATTATCTGTTGGTAGACAGACCCTGTGACGGATGGTGGCGTGGCCTGGAGGGAGTGAGAGAAATCCAGTTTAAAAGTTCTATCTGATGGGGGAAGCGCTAGAGGCATTACTCAAGGAGCAGTTCCAGAAATGTAATATCCAATTCTGTATTCTCCCACATATTTCTAATGGCGCTGCTCAGCCTCATTCTCCATGCTGAATATGATCACTTTTCATTATGCAGTCCTCCACCCAACAGCTGGCCTAAATTGCTTTCCCCCTTTACTGAGTTTGGCGCTGTCTCTTTTTTCCTAGAGTCCTCCGTGCTCATTCGATTCTTTGAATTCTTCTCTATTATATATATATATTTTTAAACCTAAACATCGCGGTAAATACAAATTATTTTAGAGAAAAAAACACGGCCGGTCTAAACAAGCCTTTGAAGGATGAATTAGGTGATATTTTACATTTTAGCTGTGAACAAATGTATTCAAATACAGAAAACTGCTATTGTTTGAAAAGCATTTGTTAAAGCTACAATAGCCTGCTAGTTAACAAACAAATTAAACCTTTTTCTAAATTAAATGTTTGTATCCATCATTAATTTTTATAGATGTAGCTTATGTTTTCTGTGCCACAGATATTGTAGGCTGGAGAAAGTCAACAAACACTGAGAGACCGAGCTTCGCATTGCTGGTTTTGGTCTTTTAACATGTTGACACACCCACCAGCCCTCGAAGAAAATAAACCATCAGCAGCCTGAAGCACTTATAACCCTCTGCAGATGTGTGGATGTGCTTTGACACAGGGGGAAAGACACATTCACACCACACTATCGCTGGCTCTGTGCGCATCTCAAAAAATGAAAGCAGTGTCAGAGTACATCCTGATAAGAGCCATGTGATGCTGACAGGACCCCCACCCTTCCTCCCCCAGCCCCTATCACCTGAGACGCTTGAGAGGTTAGGATATATATACTCTGACGTTCAATGCCATTTCTCTGCACCCTCTTTTTCTAGTCTATGAGAAAAAGCCCCATATACACCGCCACTGCTTTTTCTACAACAGCACAAGTGGCTCAAAAGTGCAGGATGGGTATTTTCAGCATGAAAGAGGGTTGTGTCATATATAAACGCCTTTGGCAAAACTGCCCAGAATGACTATTATCATTAAGCGCCACCACTGTGAGTTCCTCAGACACACCATGAGACCCACATAATTACACACTGCTCATACCCATCTCTGCCATATTCTCGCAGCACCCACAGCACTGCGTGTTCTTTCGCAGCTAATTACCGAACCTCGCTGAAGAGACGCACAGAAACCCCCCCCACCCTCGCAGTGTCTCCCTCCAGGGTGATGATTACTGTATGTTTCAGTTGGCTGAGAGACTGCATGGCAGAAAAACTAACTGTGATGTTCTACAGGTGAGTGGGATGAAAACAGTACTTTTTGAGGGATGGAAGACTTGTGAAGCGGAAACACTTCTCAAAGGATGTCTCTGAATTGTGTAGGCTTTCTTTTTTCACTTTCTGTTCCAGAACTCTCTTATTTACAGTAGGTGGAAGGCAGATACATGTCATGTGTAATGACTAAAAAAGGATAATTCTGGTTAATTTAAACTTATTTTAATAGCTTTTCTATCACTTAAAAACAAACATGATGGTCATTAATTACATAAACATTAAGGTCCTGTTTTCTCTAACTTCCTTGTTACAAGGCATGCATGTTACTTTCATCATAGATTATGAAAGATGATCTGGAAGCACCATTCAAGTCTCTCAGCCGTCTCATTTATTATGATTTAAAAGGTTTTGCTGACAGCAGTCCTCCTGCTCTTAATATGGATGAGTTATCAGCCATGCAGGAAACAGACAGACCACAGATTAGTTTGTGGTGTATCAATAACACGTGTGTCGCGGGGCTTCAGATATACCGTGTTGATAGTGGGTGTTACCATGTCACTGGTGACGGAGTTGGCCAGGTCAGACACGGAGGAGTTGGCATCGTGACGGCGGCCACTCTCGTCGGGGGTCTGACCTCTGGGGCTGCTCCCTGCTTTACCTGGAGTCCTGTTTAATGGACACAAACACACACATATTAAAGGTCACCTTTTGTGCAAAATCCACTTTTTCATGTATTTTATACATAAACATGTGTCCCCTCTGTGTAAAGAGATTCTAAAAGTTTCACGAAAAAGATTCCCTCACTTTCTCTCCTGATCCATTTATATACAAACCTGTCTGAAAATGAGCTGATCAGATTTTGGCCACTTTATGATGTCATAACGATTTTGTGGCTTGTGTAACCATTAGCCAATCACCAACCAAGGTAACACCCCCCCACCTTATCACCTGAATCTCCTCCTAGAGCACCATTGTGTTCTTTTTAACAAAATATCTCTCAGAGGGGCGTGGGGAGGGGCTCCTTATTTTCATCTAAAGTAAAAGACAGAGAATCAGCACTTTTGAAACAGGGCTGAAACAGAGGGGTTTATGGGATGCTGCAATGCATGATCTGTTTGGTATTTGGAGCCAAACACTTCAGAGACATGTTTTGTATATATCTGAGACCTATAATAATGTAGTGAAAAATAGGGGACCTTTAACATGCTCATGCTCCAAAAATGAATGTTTTACCTCCATCCCATCCAACACTTTTCCTCTCTAACACTCTTGTGGCTGAATGGTAGCAACCTGGTTCCTAAATGTTGTCGAAGCTTTGAGGTGAGGCTGTAATGGGAGACTCTTAAAGGAGCGCTTGCAAAGTGATGTCAGATCCACATAGCTCACTACATTTGTAGCAATAGCCAGAAATGAGTTAGCTTAGCTTGGCATAAAGAATACAAAAAAGTGGGAAATAGCTAGCCTGGCTCTGAAGAAAGGGAACACCTACAGGAACCTCCAAAGCTCACATTATATCCAGTTTGTTCCATTTTGGTTTCCAGTTTTTACATTAAGCTCTTCAGGCAGATGCTTTGTATTAACTGTACAAACATGGGAGTGTTATCAATCTTCTGATCTTATTCTCAGGAAGTTAATAAGCATATTTCCCCAATAAGGGCTAAGTATGACTTTAATGCTCCTGGTTATGGATTGAGTTGATGGTATAATTGTAATTTTTGAGTGTCAATATACAAAAACGTGTATGATTCTCAAGCAACGGAGGTAGTGGTGAGCCTCACTGCTGTGGACTGCAACATTGTTATGTGAAATAAGCAAAGTCATCTAGAAAAATAAAATCTATTTTCGAGTATAATTAAAACAAATAATACACCATTTTGAAACTTTCTCCATCACCATCTGTCACTTCACACACATGCCATCAACTAAAATGTAATTTACAGAACAGGACCTTTAGAATTAATTAATATTATATCAAGGCAGATAAAAATAAATAAAAATTGGAAATACTATAATAGGTAAAGACTAGAAATGTGTCCTGGCTCCTATTATGTATCCATTTGGTTAACAGGAAATATACAAAGACTTGTATTGACATATAAGACTAATGAGCACTTAGAGAGATGACCCAGAAAGAAAAAACTGAAAGAGTGAGAGAAAGAGATAGTGAGCGAGTAAGCTGGTAAACTGTAAGAACAAACAGGTAAAAGCAGAAGTGAGATTAGAAGAAGGCATTGTGGGAATTATGATCTAAGAGAAAAGATACATTGCAAGACTTATCTGTTGAGAAAAGTGAAGGAGAGGATTTGTCTTTGTTAAGAATCTGAGGATTAATAGATTGAACAAAGCGAGGTTGCGGTCTCAAATTAATGTGAGACACACAAAATAACACACACAAGCTGGAAGAAAAATCGAAGCAAGGAAGTGTGGTGGGATTAAAGCCTGGAGAAAAACAGAGCAAGTTTGGTTTGGATAAAGAGTCAGTAGCAGAGGAGAGGAAGCAAACTGACACGTTACACAGGCAAGAAAATAAAATGAGACTGTGAAGGATGGGTGAGAGATGGACAGGGTTTGTGCGGCAAAGAGACAAGTAAAAGCAGAGCGAGAGTGAGGAGGAGAAAAGGATATGGTGTGTAAGAGAAAGAACTGATTTGTCACTCTGCGTTTATTTCCTGTGATCTGCAGGTCAGAGCGCCGACAATTCAGTGCAGACTTAATATAAAATGTAATGTTATACTATTTATGCATCAGCTGATTAATAGATCTGAAACATCAGAGCATTTTTTATCCAACAGGTCAAACTGATGTTCAGAGAAAGGGCAAAACGTCATTACAGCTGTTAATATCATCCTCAGACACATCAGGGAACAATGTGTTAACTGAAAATAATTATATAACACCTGGCAGTCACACACATTACACCTGGGGCCGTCTCGCTCTGCCACTTCCTTCAACCTGAACTGTGGTGCTGTGTTCAAGATTATACTCACTGTTTAACCCAATAAAAAATGTGTAAACTTATAAAGCATGCCAGATCTTTTAAAAATATTTACTATTACAGGAAGTCTATAAATACCTAAATTAATAATCAAATTACTTTTGTTATTATTATTAATGGTTATATGATCATTATTTTATGCATCTGAAAACATGATTAAGAAAATTCTGGAGGATTTTTTATTAAAGGTCCACTTGTGAACTTTATACAAGGTCACTGGTCCGGATCAATGCCAGTAAAGTCAACCCCCAACATCCGTAGTTTGAGAAGCCCTGCGCTACAGGGTGTACTTTGAAAAAATATGACATGGGACCTTTAAATCCATAGATTTATAATGGGATAAAGGTCATATTACGATGCTTTGGGTCATAGGCAGGTTTGGGTTTTTCGAAATGTTCTTTGCTGAGAAAATCTCCAAATTCATTTGGTTTTAAAACAAAAGTACCCGCCTTTATAGGCATTCCCCATTTTGACTATTGAGCCCATAATATATGCCTGTCAGCTGGGTCTCTACCCAAAGAGTCTATGCTAACTAGTAGGGGTGGTTTGCTCAATGACTGCCTATTGAACCCCCAACACACGAGACGGAGACCATATGAATCTTCAACAATCAACCTTACATAAATATTTTTTTTTCATTTCATTCTAATGTGAATATTTGGCGACAAATCATCTCAGCCATGCAGCGCACATGCAATACTTTAACACAGTGCATATAAAACTGCTGTAGTTAATACAGGCTTGCACATATCATGCAGGTTTTTTCCTAACAGTAAATATTTTCACTGCCCCATGTACTCCAGCTAAGAGGGAGCACTGAACAACCCGAGAGTCTGACTGGTTCTGTAATATTTATATAAATTTGATGCAGTGCAAGCCAAAGGCTGTCAGTCGCACCAGGAAAATCGGAGTATGATTCTGCAAAAAAAGGTTTGGACAATAAATGAGCATAGCAGATATGTTGTTATTATTCTGGTAGTTGGAAGGCAGGCAGGACTACAGGTAACTGATCAAACAACTGTGTTAGAGGAGACTTCATGTCCAAACCGGGAGGCAATCAGTTGGAGATCTGAAGATCTAAAAAAATCGAAAATGAAAAGAGAGGGTTTTATTAAAGTAACAGCAAGCAAATCAAAGCAAAGTACCCTTCTCATTTCAGGTTGATGACCTTATTTATCGGCTCAAAACATGCAGCATCATTAACTGCCAAGTTTTTTTTCCCTCTTCTCTCCTGCACTTCTCTTTTTTTTCAAATTCAATTGATTGCTTTTTGTATGCATAATGTGCCATTTTAAAATACGAACAGCCAACAAGTTTCAGCAGTCAAAATTATTTCTATATAATCCCTGATTCTTTAGGCTGGGGCATACAATAAGTGGATAAATCAGAATAAAAAAACACACTTGTGCACCAGCACCCTGCACCCCTAGAGGATTTTGTTTTAAACAAGTGTCTGCTTGTCAAAGTCACCACAGATTTACGTATGGTGACATGAAAGACAAATAAAGAGTGGCTGCTGCACAGAGTGTCCTCAAATCAAGACTGTTTACCCTGCAATGGCCTGCGGGACGCGGAGCGGTTGGGTGCGGTAGTGAGGTGAGTTTATCCATGCATGTAAATATACACATTTACTCGCTGTCAAATATACACACTCCTGAACACACCCATATACACACACACATGCAAGATGCAGCAGGCATGGTGCTATATAACATCTCAACCTCACATGATAATAAGTGCTGCAGAAATACACTCAATGAAAATAAGTGAATTATTCTCACTGCAGTGTATTTATTTATTTATTTATTTATTCGTATTTACCGAGATAGCTAGCCATAAAGTCAACAGTCTTTGTCCCAACAGAAGGAAAACATCATTTGTTGCCCCTTTGATGTTGGTGACTATCTCGTCTAAAACACCCCTTACATAATTCATTCTTTAGAGGTTGTTGTAACCATGACTACTGAAAAGTGTGCTCCCACTTAAGGTTGTACTCACTACCATCATGTATTTTACAGGGGGTTGCAGTAACCATGGTAACAGGAGCCTTCAAAAGAGGGCAGTGGGAATCCAAGGAAGTTCCTCAGAGAGGGGCATATATTGAAAATAGCTAAAAGCCCACAGAGCAAAAAGTGACCACACATTTCCAAAGACTTGGAAACACTGCTGGAACACACTCTTCCCTCATACCTACACTTCCCGAAGCCCCCGTGACCCTGTGAAAATACCACAGCAAACCCCTGGGTGTGTGTGAGCTCATGCTGAAAATGGCTGATTCATAAATGCCAAAAAAAGTGCAGAATAGCCTCCAGCCATGATACTCAAAACAACAGGTAGTGACAGAAATGAGCAATTACGGAGCTACCTTCTTCGCCTGCTAATAACAGTCTGGGTCGTCAGACTGAAACACAGTATATCACTCCATTTGTTTGACTGTAAAGGCAAATTAACTAACAGCAGGTCTATAAAACTCAACAAATGGGCACATACACGCTCGACTCTCCTGAAGGTGGAAGGCGACGTCCCTGGAGAACGACCACATCGATCTGACATATCGAACCTCTAAGCCCTGACTCCTGACCTCATGGCCTCAATCTGGAATTGAGTTGTTAGCCATCTTCTGTGTTATTGGACAAAGCAGGTCATTAATTCCCAGGGGACAATACAGAAA